AGCCAACACTCGATGTAATGCCACGCGATGCCTCGTTATCCCACGTGTTGCGACGTGGGAATGGGTGTACACATTAGCTAACACGTGTTAACACGCCTGAAATTTTTATTTGAGTTAAAAAAGTTATCAGAAGGGTTACAAAAATACTAGAAGTATCGATACCCATACCGATATTAGATTATAATCATAATACTTTAACTTCACAATCTCCGTTAACCTTCTTTCCTTAATTTTTGATTATTAAATTTTAAAGTTAATAATAGAATTTGTATTCTTACTGATTGAACACTCAAAATAACATTTTTGTTTTCTATTGCATTCGAAAATAACCGTTAGAAAATAGCTGCGGGACTAGAGAGGCAAGCAGAGAACAACACGCCGTAACACACGTCGTCGGTGAGATCTGGGATTGACGAATCGACCATCACACGTGTCATAGCGTGTTATAGCGTCGGATGGCGTCACGTGTTGCCTAGTGTGTACGCAATACATATAATTAAATGGAAAAACATACGCACATATCTTCATGACGTGGGGTGGCATGGCATCACGTGGCGTAGCGTGTTGGCTAATGGGGTCCGGGCTTAATTAGGGCGTTGTTTGGTGCAATAACATTCAATAATTCAACTTTCCCGGATATTCAACTCTCCCGAAACAACATTTTATGGCTTCATAGTTTCTCACACCGACTTGATCAAAAGAAAGAATGGAATCAAGCAGTTCGACGAAACAAGTGAGCAAACAAAGTGCTCGTTACATAATCAAAAAATTAAATGGACATGTACCATGCAAGGATAAAATATAATTTGCAATATTAATGGTATACATTTTTTAATCGATTAGTGATTAAATGTTTTATGAACATCTTCTAAGATTATAATTATGTACCATTAAAAAATTTCTTTAAAGCTGAAATACCCCTAATTATGACCCCACTAGCAAAACCGGTAATTAAAATTATGTTCGCTACCGTAGTTGAACTCATCTACAAAGTTTTTATAGCTGGAATAATAAATTATAATATAAGTTAGACCTTCTGAAGATATCAAAATTAAAAAAAAAATATAACACTTTAAACTTGAAGAAAAAATGTTCTGTTGCAAAACAAAATTGTTGACTGTTCCATTTTTTTGCATCTGAGTGTATTTTTAGTGTAATCCCATTAATTGTGATGACTTTTCATTAATTTTTCCCAATTTTTATACAATTTTTAAATATACCTCCTTAAATAACATAAATTATTTTCTTTTAGTTGCATAGTTGTTAAAGGTTTGCTTTAGTACCCTGTTTAGAACTGCTAACTTCACAAAGCTCTTAAGTGGATTAAAATAAATAATGTGTGAACTTTCCATGCTGTAAGGATTCAAGAATATTTTAATTTACCTTAATTTAGTGTGCTGTCCCTAACACACATTTTACATTTTTAATAATCTCCAGAGTACAGTGGAGAAAAGTTCCAAAATTTACGGCGGACATTAAACTAAGACTCGGGGTAGAAGAAGTTTTTTAATTTTACTGTTATGGGAATAGTAATTACCTCTAGGATGTCGTCGTGACTTTAGCCGTTAGCTGCAAGAGTCTAACAAATTTTGCAGGAATAGGTAGGTAGACTAAGGATATATTTTCGACTAGTTTTTCTTCTAAATGTACCAATAGAAAGTTCATTGTAGATGGTTTTAGTTTAAGTATAACAATATTATGTTCAGATGATTTGGATACATATTTTTCTATTTTTATACTTGTTTTATTTTACTTGCTGAATTTGATATACGATTGAGATAGACGAAAAACTTCAGTTTCTTGATGTTCTTGTTAATGGAAAAGGTGGATCCATTCGTAAACACACATGGGAGAGAGTATTTGAATCTTTAGTCAAGCCATTCTGAAGCAACCAAAATAGGAATAGTAAAAACATCATGTCAGCGAGAAAACATCATATGTAGTGACCAAATATCACTTAATTATGACCTAAATAATGTTTAAAAGGCTTCAGAATGGTTATTCTGAGAAAACCCACAACAAAATTGTATCGCTCTTTAAAATAAACGAGATAATGTGTAAATCTGAGGATGATGTTCTCCCTCACTTGACGATTTTATTTTTGAAAAGAACATCAGAGAGGATAAAATGAACAGCATAACATTAAAACTGTTTTGAGTCTGGAACTACTCTAAGAAACGTCTTAAGAAGAAGAAGAAACAAGACCCAAAGAATACAAAGAAAAAGAATAGTGCATCTATCAGGTAGTGAGTCGTCTGAGCATCTATCAGGTGAGCCGTATACTGGAGATGCAAAAAGACCTAATAGGTAAACATAATTATCAGGTATTCTACTGTGATCCAAGCACTACATCATAATGAAGCTCGTGTTGCTTATAGGAACTTCATAGGAAAATGCGGAAACTTAGAGAAGATATTTATAAAACAAAGATAAAGCATAGATAACATTTATATTAATGAAACAATTACTGCCTAATTAAAATGACATAATCTGATAAAAACTAAACCAACTTAAGCCAGCTGGACGCCGCGCCGTTTTTTCGATCATACGGTACTTATGCTTAATGTTAATAGTCACACAGTTTTACATCAACAGATGCATTTTTCTATATTTTATTTAATTAAAAACACAAATAAATTTTTATTATTTACAACCACATATGTAATACTGACATTACTGTCTTTTAAAAAATTTGAAAGTGTTAAATTATTTACATTTCTTCCCTCTTCCATTTCCCTCACTCATTTCCCTCATCCATTTCCCTCACCCATTTTTCTCACTCGGTTTTTCTTATTTTTCGTCTCATTTAATTAAACAAAATATTCTTGTAATATCTTTATTAAATACTTATCTAACATCAAGAAAAATAAACAAGAAGATTAACAATAATAATTGAAAATTTTAATACATTTATTTTTGCCTGGTAAAAATGCTAGACTTCTTTGGCTTAAAACCGTTCTGGCGTTTTAAACAAGCGACGAGTTTGTGATACTTTGATATGTCAGTATTGTCCCTTAATTCTAGTCCCTTAATTGAATTAAAAAACATTATTCATGGGACACAGGGCACAGAATCAATTTTAATAACGCCAAAACTATAATGAAAGAAGCGATAGCCTCTAAAAGAAAAATAAAAGAGGCTTTTTTAATTCAATCTAATAAAAATAAATGTATTGCTCATGCATCTGTAGATGTTAGTAATGTATGGCAATCGCTTCTTTGATTTTAAAGAACATAACCTAAATAAACATAACATACGTAAAATTTAAAAATAATCAATAAAAATACAGAAAGTTTGGGCTTTTTGGTTTTATCTTATTAAGTAATTGTCAATTTTGAAGTTTAACTTAATATAATGTCATTTTAACAGAACGTCAACGATTTCTTGTAGACGTATCTGTTTTAAAAAGTAAAGTGTTCTCGAATAGTTCAATTTAAATATTTTAAATAGTTTGTTTCTTAATTCTTTATATTTTTTTGCTTCCGACGACGGAAAGAGAAAACTTTCCGAAACGTTAAGCATTTTTTTCTTTGTTATGCACATTTTTATTACTGTAAACACAACTTCTGACAAGCAGCGTCCGTTTAGGTTTAACGCAGAAGTGTTTACAAAAAATAACTATTTTATTTTGTAGATTTTTCTTGCAGTGCAGTGGCAAAATACCCATAAAGGATTTTTTGGATAGATGTAAAATACCGTATGATCGAGAAAAAACGGCGTCAGCGATGGCTATGAAATGAAGATCGCTGTCATTTTATATGTAAATTTATATGGGAAATGTCATCGATCGTCATTTCCCAGCCAACTGGACGCCATTTTTTTTCGATCATACGGTACTATTACACCCCTAGATCATATATACTTACGTGGATAAGTAAATCACTATGGAAACTGTCCCAAACATATCAACGACTTCCATTTATTTTCTTTTTTTGTTGCACACGCGGTGCTTCTACTCTATCTATCCTTCTCGAGGACCTATCGCCCACGCGCCAAATTTGAACATTAATTTTAAAAAATTAATTTGTTTAATGCATATATTTGAACAATAATTGAATGTTACTGTCACAAAAATTAAATTATATAAAAAAATAAATTAGCCGCTCCGTACGAATATCAATATTCTTAGGAAATCTAACCAGAAGGTATGCATGTGATTTAGTTTGGTTTGGTATACATAAAAGAACAACTGAATACTTTACTTGCCTGTGAAAAGATAATTCGGGGACATTTATATTATAATTTCCACACACCAAACACTTTCTTGTCATTTTGACGAGTATTTACCCAAAAATTAAAACCCAACGAATAAAAAATAGAAATATAATTGCAGAAACTTAAAATTAACTTCTCACTGAACATACTGGCATCCTTGGCTATATAAAAGCGGTCGATAAAAGAGTAATTAATACAATTTTTAAATTAAAAAACGCAAAAAACAAGCGTAGTTACACAATGGAAATAACATTATGACAATATGATGACAATGAAAAGTTGGTTTCCATAACAATGTATAATTTGTACTTTCTAAACCGGATAAAATTGTAATTATTTTGGAAATACGTGCCAGTTTTAATGCGCATGCGTAAAGTCAGGTCTTCGAGAAAGACAAACCTATTGAACGTTTCACAAGTGCAATAAAGAAGGTTTGAAAATGGCATGTCGTGATGTTGGGGGCATATTTTTTAATGCTAAACTTATGGAGTTGATTTATCCACGTAAGTATATATGATCTAGGATTACACCTCTAGGTTCTCAAAAAAGCTTATCTTTTCCTTGCTGTGTTCAAATCTTTTAGCATAACTGTTAGTTACACTGTGAAAATGTAAAAATAGATATTCATTTTGCTATATAGGGCCAGGGTTTAGATAAAGATAGGGATAATGAAAATACAGAGATGTACTGATTTACTCTGGATAGGTACTGATTTACTCTGATCTGGAGAATAGTTGAATAAAGAAAGTTGTATTTTTTTTCCAATGGAAGTTAAAGTTACCTACCTGTACAATGTCTCCATGACTTTGACCATTTGCTGTAAAAGTGAGATGGCACAGAAAAGGTAGACGAGCATCGGCAGCTTTCAGCACCTTCAAATCATAGGTTTTACTGACGTCACCGTAGTATGTTCGGTTGCAAACTGAAAAACAAATTAATATTTAGAACAGGTTCAAAAATAAGGAACGAAGTTTCCAAAATTATATTGGAAACGTTCTACACATGAACATATACACAGTGACCCAATTTTCCGAAAAACGTCCATGTCAGATTTCTTATCTAACATTATTTTTATAGCATATACAGTATTTATCGTACTTGTTCTAAAAATTCATATTAATTGCATTTTTCATGAGAACTCATGTGTGATAGAAAGAAACAGAGTATAGGTATAGATACAACTCGACCAGAAAATCATAAATAAATGTATATTTTTTTAAATATTGTTGATTTTAAGACCTTAAAAGCTTTTAAAATCCGCAATTAAAAATCTAGCTCCGTTAGAAAAAAGAAAGTTAATGAGGGCAACTCAAAGATGAAACGTCAGTTTGAAACTATGACCACACCATCTTGCAGAACAAAAAAAAGCAGCAATGACAATGTGAAGTTTATTTTGCTATATTTATTCAAATTGATTAAAATAGAGTTATAACAAATAAAAATAAAATCGCGAAAAGTCGTTTTTTCCAAAAATCTTCGGAAGTATCCCTAGTAGTCGGTATAGTGTGTGTCTATCTTTCTTCTAGTTTTCGAGATCCCAATGATGGAGCTCGAATTTTGGACATCCTGTATAGGGTGGGTCATCGGACGCTTTTAAAGGGAAAGACCCTTTTCTATAGAAGATAGACGCCAACTAGTATCGGTGTCTGGAGCTCAATTTTTATCAAAAATATAATGGCAAAAATCATAGGCACAAACCGCACATCGATATATGTTACTGTTTCGGAGTTAAGGGGTGTTTTTCAAAAATGTGCATTTTTAACAAATCGTTGTAACTTTTTTGCTATGGAAAATTTTGTATTTTTAAGAAAATATTTCCAAAGCACTTTTTTACGTAGAATTTAATGGTTTAAGTATATTTTTTAATTACTTATTTAAGAGTTATGAACAGAAAAATTGATTTATAATTTTATTAAAAATATACAGGGTGTCCCGTATATTTTTAATTATCTGAAAAGAACTTAAAATTACCTTTCCAAATATATAGCATACTTGATATTTTGTTGTAGTCTCCTTCAAAATACAGAATTTTTAAAAGTTTGCTACTTTTAACTAGTAGACTTTGACGAGGAAGGCTTGCACGTAGCAAGACGAGGCACCGCCTCAGAACGCTGAAGTTATCAACACATTTTTGCCGCCAATTTCGAGAATAATAGAATAGCTAACCAAGATCCTAGTCGTTGGACGTCGAGGCCGCCGGAATTAGCGCCTATGGATTTTTATCTTTGCGGAAGAATAAAGGTTCTTACTTTTAAATTGCCCTTATAATGTAGACAAGAATTTGAAGTACTTAGCGGTTAAGCGAAGAGTTAATGAATGTGTCGAACACCATCTCATGTCTTGGTTTACTGTTTATTTTTATTGTTATAAGATATAGCTTAAATGTGTTGATTTTTAATTGTTATAAAATTCTGCATCTCTCATTGCAAATATTATTTTCGTTTTAATTGCTGCTCACAGCTAGATTTTCTTTGCATTACGGCCGGCGCCGTTCAAAGCTTACTTATTCAAAGTGGGCGAATTTTTAAAAACTAAAAACTATATTTTGAAGAGGAATCGAGCAATATATCAAGTATGTATTTTTGGAAAAGTAATTTTAAATTCTTTTCAATGAATTAAAAATATATAAGGTGTTCCATATAAAAAATCAAATGTTCTGTTGATAATTCTTAAATTATCTCTTAATTTAAAAAAAAAAATATACTTAAACCATTAAATTCTACGCAAAAAGGTGCTTTGAAATGTTTTTAATGTTAAACATAAAAAAAATCCATAGCAAAAAAGTTACAGCGTTTTGTGAAAAATTGACATTTTTGAAAAATACCCTGTAACTCCGAAACGATAACAGATATCGATGTGCGGTTTCACCCATCATGTTTTGATAAAAAATGAACTGCGGACACTGGTAGTTTTTGTCTATCTTCTATAGAAACGGGTGTTCCCTTTAAAAACACCCAATTTGGCCACTTTTTTGTACAAATATATAAAAAAGCATTTCAAAATTTTTAACGAGTAAATAACGACTACATTATTTTTAATACATTAATTTGCTTTCTTTGTAAATACAATTCAAAAGCGTCCTATTTCCATTATTTTTTTTTATTCAATATCAATCCTTTAATATTTATCTTAATCCAAAATAAATATATGTTAAAAATAATTTCCGCTTGTTAGTCCACGAAAAAAAACACGTGCAAATAATGAGAGGGCGGATCCGCGCTTTTCTTTTTTTTATCCGAAAACAAAACCGAAAAACAAAACAACTGCGATCCATCGGAACGACGGACGCCGACGTTTATATATGTACATACATATTTTACCAGTGGAAATACGTTTTGCGGTAGAAATGTAAATATTATGCGGCGAGAATGGATTACCGCTAGGAGGGAAAAACGGAAAAAATCTCATAAATTGTCAGCTTATATTCGGAAATCGCTTAACAAAAGAGCCTCCGGGGTAGCGACCTCGGCTAATCCAAGAAAAGAGAGACAGTAACAGGAAAAAGTTTAATCGCCCTTAAATATTATCGATGCCGACCATAAATTGGTCTAAAGTTATTGTCGAATTAGCTAAAGTCCTTATCGCTAACCAGTTTTATAGGATTAAAAATACTAATTCATTATTTGTAATGCGTGCTGACCTGGATAAAGGTGAAGTGGGTGTTTAATTTAAAGAAAAAATGTGTAAATAATGTGTAGATGAAATACAGAAGATGAAATACCTCTAACTGAGTTTGTAAAAAGTTTAATTAGCTTACTATTCTTTCCACTTTTCATACACCTAGGTATACATATTCTGTCCCTACTACAGGACGGCGCACAATGGATCGAAGCATAGGAAGATAAGGACATTGGCTGTTTTTGAAGAGTTCCAAATTTAAATATTTTTTTACATATTTGTGTTAAAGAGATATTCTAGTCTTGTAAAACACATACAGTATGTCTGTTTGTTATTTACTTATTGAGTATATGAGCACCATTTGAAGTAAATTGAAAAATCATTCAAATTGGTAGACAAAGAGTCTTACATTTGATTGTAATTTTAAAATGGATGTAAAAGATATTCGTTTGTTATATATAACGACTTATTAGAAGCGTTCTTGGACTATAGTATTGGATTGTTAAATTTAAAAAAAAAGTCACACCAGAAGTGAAAAACTCATTTGTTTTTTATTTATGTCATTAAGACTTAAAAATATAAAGTTTTCTTGAATTACAAAAAAATGTAAGCGGATGTAAGTGGAGATATTACGTGCAATGTAAAGAGCCACCTTTACTCGCACATATCATAAAAAAATTGGCTGCCCCAAAGTGCCACTGCAAAAAATATAATGTTTTTAATATCAAAATCCTTGAATTTATGCAATGCACGCACAGTGCACCATCAAACAATTTGTAATTTGCCGATATTGGTAACTATATTCGTCGAAGAACATTGGAGTGGGACTGAATTACACTACAATACATAAGGCATATAGGTTGAAAGGCCCAGAAATGTTTTCGTTTTGGTATTCGGTACCTATTCGGCAATTTGTCGAGTTTGCCGTGGACGCGCATCACGCGTTGCTTTGCAGAATATATTTGCAATTTTATTTTAGATTTAGGGAGGAAATGGGTTTGATAGTCGATGTCGTTAAACAGGGATGGGGCAAACGATGGAAACACCGCGAGAAGATTTTTCCGAAACTTCGAGAAGTCATAACAAATTAAAGGAATCGATGAATTGATTGCTGAAAAGACTATATATATATTACTCCAAGTTTTGGTTTCAGGAAAAAAAAATAAATGCCGAAAAGTTTAATAAATTTGCAAAAGAGACTGCAGAAGAGTTAACCTTTATGGATGGTCTACACAAAATTTTGATACACGGAGCAAAAATCATCAGCAATTTTTGGTTTCCGATAGGGCATCTGTCTGAAGAGGCCTCAGAGTCTAGGAATAAATACTTTCGGAAATATAGAGAATGCCGTTCAAGAAGGTCTAACAGAACTTTTGCAAATTACATAATCTTTTGTTGTCTTCCGATCCATATATAACTGATATGCGTAGCTGTGATAAAATTCGTAGCGATTTAACAGAGAAAGCAATATCTCTTTTGCTATAATATTTTTGTTTTCTTTTTTATTTAAAGATTAGTTCTTTTGTGAGTCACCCTGTATATTTTGTTAACTATTTGGTACAAAAGGCCATATTAATTTAGATTTAACAGAGAAAGTAATTTCTCATACATATGTTATAATGTTTTGTTTTCTTTATTGTTTATAGATGAGCTCTTTTTGTAAGACAACCTGTATATTTTTTAAAATATCTTAATAAGTATTATAAAATATCTTAATAAGTAATATCTTATCTCATAAGCCCTCAGAAACTTCTTCGAGTGTTTTAGACCGTTGCAAGATTCCCATTCCAGGTTGCGGATGGAATCTTCCAAGTTCTTGAGTTCCGCCTTGAGTTGGTTACCACTTGGAAAGCAGAACGGTTCTGGTCCAGTTAGTGGAGCGTTCGCTCCTTTTCTAGCTAGATCATTTGCTTTTTCATTGCCTTCTATCCCTTGGTGAGCAGGCACCCAAAGTAGGAGGACTTTGTTTTCTTTGCCTAATTTATTCAGCTTCCCTATGCATTCTTTGACCAATTTCGAATTGATTGATACTGAGTTGATCGCTTTTAACGCTGCTTGACTATCAGATAAGATGTCTCAGATCATCCTTACATCTTGCACTAGGACGAGCGGATGAATCCAGAGTGCATCGTCTTCGTATTGGGCATACCGCGGTGACTCATGCATATCTGCTTAAAATAGAAATACCTCCAATGTGCATAGTCTGTGATGTTGAGTTGACAGTAACTCACTATGTGACTGTCCTCAATATACGGTAGAAAGAAGTAGATTCGATATACGTGGTGAAATTCGTAAAAATTTAAC